TTCCTCAGCAAAAAGAGGAGGATTGGCACGGATGTTAGCTCAGGGCTAATCTTTCTCTCTCACACACACACACACACACACACACACACACACACAAATCAAGTAAGACAAAACATTAGGATCTGATAAGAGAAGGTGGTATGTTATTTTCTGTACCTTTTTGTCAATGTGAAATATTTAATAATAAAATTCTAAAACTTACTTCTGAATATGTAATACATTCACATGATTCAAATTCAAAAGGCACAGAAAGGTATATTAAGAAACTTAAATTTCCTTCCCACTTATGCCCCAACCAGATCCTCTCCCAGAGGAAACTACTAGTATTCTACTTTCACATATGTCCTTCAGGGTGGCAGCTATGGATTCACAGGCAAATCTGTAAATCTACATTTCCCCTCTTTTATTAGCTTTTGCATATGATAATTTCATATCCCTCCCACAGTCCATTGTATGGAAACCCTATTTTATTTAACCAATCCTTTTCAGAGAGACATCTGGGTTTCCTCCAATTGTTTGCTATTGCCAATAGTTTTGCACTGAAAATCATCTAGATGTGTCATAAAAGCAGCAGTTATCTGAGGAAAATTTCCTAGATACAGAACTGCTGGATCATTTTAATTTTAATGTATATTTGTCATTTTAACAGATATTGCCAAATCGCCCTCAACAGAGTTTTTATCAATTTATTCTCTCACCAGCAAAGTATGAGAACCTGATTCCAACCACTGTCTAGCTCACCAATAGTGTTTCTTTTTAATCTTTGCTGACTTAGACGAAAAGCAGCATTTCACAGCGTAACTACATTTCAGTCATTGACAAATTTCAAAAAATAAAACACTAAGTCGAACGCAGCACATACTTTGTGATTCCTTTCCCATGCCTGTTTTTCTGAAACAAAAAATGTTCTTAGGAGCTCACTCCGTGACACCTTCACCCTCTTACTCATTTTACAGGGGTTACTCTATCATGAAGCCCTTCCCTCGATTTACTTCCCTATGGACCCATAACATTCCCGGTTCTTGTCATCACAAACAAGGCCCCTCCACACCATGCTGTTCAAAGCTTGAGGGGAGCAGGAAGGAAGTTTTATGTCTCAAGTAGGTACAAACTGAGGAGATAATATTAATTTTTATGAACTCATGGAGTCAAAAGCATTTTTGAACATTTTCAACTCAACACCATTTACTGAATATGCACCCTTGGTCCACTCTAAGGCCCCAAAACAGTGTCTACTCTCAACGAACCCCAATCCTTGGCAGCATGAAGCAAGGTCTGCAACAAAGGAAAAGGGGGCAGCTCGGGAAGAGGAGGGGCGGGAGTGGGTCCTAACTTCCAAAGAGGGGAGCCTTCACACGGGTGCCCACTCGGAGGCACTCTGGAATGAGTCTCCCAGAAAGGAGAGTCGGAGCATCTTGGCGCGGCGAAC